CCCCAAAACCCCAAAACCCCAAAACCCCGTTTAGTCAATTTGAAGATGGATTAGTATATCTTCTAATAAAAAAATTTGAATGAGTGTTGCTTAATTTTAAAACTTGATTATGATAAATATGATTTATTCAATACTAGGAAATCACTTACATTGAAAGTTTATTAAGTGATTATTAAATTAAATATAATTTTTGCAAATATTTCTGCTTTGATATCAATCATTGGATTCAATGGATATTACACCTGAACAAAATTTACTTAGCTAAGTGGATTCAGCAGGAATTACTTAAGAAAAATCGTTTTCTCACATAGCAGCAACTACTGATTAAATTGAGTTAGCATCAATCGACATGACTTGGCCTAAAGAAAAGATCACAGAGGGAATTATGGATCAACTGAGAAATCTTGGATTTTTACTTCTCACTAATGTCCCAGGATACAATGAAGATGAATTAAAGCATGCTTGCTAATGGATGTTCAATTTATCAGAAGAAGAAAAGAGAAAATTGTATTAACACCATCACAATCCTAAAAATACTAACTATTACCGAGGGTTGAGTCCATTCATTGCAAATGATGTCTCTCATAAGGAATTATTTGATATGGGACTTGAATATTCTCAAGTTAGTGATTATGAAAAAATATTTTCACTTCAGGAATAAACTCCTTTTCCAGATGATTAGGGAGATGATGGCTAGAAATTTAAGACATTCATGCATTAACATTATGATATAATGCAAAATCTAGGAGTTCAATTAATGTCTCATATTGCAGATGGTTTCGGGCTTCCTTCGAATTATTTTGAGACTTGGTTTAAGGATGATCCCTGCTCAACTTTGAGACTGATACATTATTTACCTAGAAAAGCTAACGTCGTAGCTTGTGACAAACTTACAGAGGAGGAATTAAAATTGACCACACCTGAACATACCGACTCAGGGTTTTTGACATTGCTTTCAACATTTAACTATCCTGGTTTACAGGTAGATATTGGAGGTGGTGTTTATAAGTCTATAAAGCCAGTACCAAATGTTTTAGTAGTGAACATAGGAACAATGCTCTCGAGAATAACTAATAATGATTTGAAGGCTACATGGCACAGAGTTTTAGACATAGGTGTTGATAGATATTCAAGTCCTTTCTTTTTAGAACCTAAGTATTCAGCAGAAATCCCATAGTAGCTGGATCCATCATTGATGACTGAAGAATAAAAGAACAATAAATTAGTTTATGGAGATTGGTTGATTGAAAGCATTAAAAGATTCGCAGAATTTGCCAATTTCTAAAAAACTAAGCCAACTCTTTCTGATCTCCAAGCACAGATCTAATTAGATTAGACAAACTGACTGAGATTTTGAGATTATTAAAACGAGCAAATATCTTATTAAATTTATTATATATCAAACTTTCCTAGTTATATTATATATAGGAATACTCTATTAATTATTCAACCTTTGTGTCTAGTAATTATTTCCTTTGTACAATAGTGGTTAGGTCTGATTATCCTATAGATATATTCCAATCGCTTAATTTATTTCTTGGACTGCTTTCTTTTGCTTGTTTCTCTTGGTAAAAGACTGACTTCTTGTTGTACTTGGATTACTATTCATTTGCTTAATCATCTCATTATAATTTTAAAAGTTATTTAATTGATTTGATGGTTACGCTCTATTAGATTTTTATCGAGTAGATTGATTGTTTGTCAAGTTATAGGATTAAAATTTTGTATTGACATTAATAGATGGAGTTTTTCTTCTTAATAAAACTGCTTATTTAACTCCTCCACTTGGAGTGGCTGTGTTTGAAGAATGATTAAAGCTCTTTTGCTTCCCATAAAGATCTGCAGTTTGATTGAGATAATTTCTTGGAATTTATGATTAATTGTATGCGTTTAGAGTCTTTACAATGCTCTCATTAAGGTGGTTTGACCCAATGTTTATTGAGTTATCAAAGATATTAATGGTATTTTATTAGGCGTATTGAACAGGAGGAGGTTTAAAGTAGCTGCTCTCTGCTAATGTAAGGCTATTATTATTTTCTTGAATATTAATAGAATCGAAAAGCTTATATTATGAAAAACTAGTTTTTCTTCGAGTATTTTTGGATTGAAGATTTGACTGACTGGATATTGTGTTAAAGCTCATTTTAGTAATGTTAGGTTCTCTTGGGTAAAAATTACTTTAATCTATTTTAATGTAGTTATTGTTGAGTGTAATTTCATTTAATCGATTTGAGTAATTAGAATTTACCTGATTGGCTCTATTTATTCTTTTCATTTAGGTTTTCATTCTAAAGTTGTTACTTGTTGGTATATTAGAGGTATAACTTCCCGCATTCAAAGATTTATTAAGATTTGATGGAGTCATTTTAAATTTTGTTTTAATTCGAATTCTGTTTGTACTCTAATCTAGATTAGACATTTAATTTCTGTTTAATATTGCTCCTATAGTTTAAGATTCATTTAGTACTAGTTGTGCCAAAGGCTAGATCTACTCCTGATCTAAACTTCTATTTAAATCTCGATGCTTCATCAATGTTGTATTAATGGAACTTGCACCGTAGTCATCATAAGCTGGTAAATCAGGTTCTTAAAGTGTCGGGGCTTTAATTTTTAGACCTTTAATTTTTTATTATGGAGGACTTTGATCCTTTGGACATTCAATTGAATTCTCTCTTGAGTTTTGAAACCTCATAACTTTTATATCTCCTAAACCTTCTGCAATTTTCCTCAACTAGTGATTCTGAGCATACTTTGTAGTTCTAGGTGCAACTACAGATTTATTTAATCTTAGCTATGAAGAAGCTGTAATAATCTAAGAATCATTTTAATTAGTTTCATCCTCTTAATTGTCATCATCCAGCAGTTTTCCATCTAGTTATTTCATTTTAAGCAGCAAGTAATAATGTGCAGTAGCAGCATTATGTCTGTTTGCTTCAATACATTGCCTAGTATATCTTTCATTAGTACCACTTTATTACATCATCTCTTTCAACAAACTCGGGTAAATTTTTTGATCATCAATTCCAACTTTAATACCTTTAGATATTTCTTTAGGGGGTTTGTAAATATTAAACCACTTATGTTATTTAATTTACTTTATTCCAAATCTCAAATCTGGATCTGGAACTAATATTTGCAAAATCAAATCCTTTACTTCTTTTGATAAAAACGATGGAAGTTTGAAATCAGCTTTTAAGATTTTTTAATAGAGGCTCTAAGTATTTTAATCTTCAAATGGCAGATATCCGCAAACTTCTGTATAGAGTACAACTCCAGCACTCCATATATCTGCCTTTTGTCCAATATACTCTTTACCTCTGATGAGTTCCGGTGCCGCGTAGCAAGGAGATCCGCATGCTGTTGACAGCTTTTCTCCAGGCTTAAACGTATTACTAAGTCCAAAATCAACAATTTTTAAATTTTTGAAATCATCTAGAAGAAGATTCTCAGGTTTTACATCTCTATGGGCAATTCCTAATTCTCCAATGTACTCGATTCCTGCAATCAGTTACTGGAATAATCTGCAAGCTTCTTCCTCTTTCAATCTATTACGAGATGTAATGTAATCAAAAAGCTCGCCATTACTACAGTGTTCCATTATCAAATACAACTTTGATTATGTTTCAATGATCTCATATAACTAAATAATATTAGGATGTCTAACTATCTTCAAGATGTGTATTTCTCTAGTTACTCTCTCCACATCATTAACATCTTTTATTTTTTTCTTCTCAAGTATTTTAATCGCAACCTAAATTAATGTCAAATAAAAGTGATAAGTAAAGTGGTAAAAATTTAGCAGAATTTAATTACTTTTTATTCTGTGTGAATATGAATCCCTTGCTTAACTTTGCCAAAAGTACCTTGCCCTAGTGTCTTCTCAATACGGTAACTTCCAATTATCTTTTCATTATCACCTGTCATTGTTTGTTTCTTAATGGGTGACTGTTAAGCAAATTCCTGCTTTAAATCCATTAAAATTAAATTGAAATTTATTTTAATTTAAAAATCTATTCAAATTTCTTATATAAACTCTAATGGGGTTTTGGGGTTTTGGGG